GTCCAATTTTCAAACCGGCTTCGCGTAGCGTATAAGTCCAATTATCAGACCAGCTTCGCATAACGTATAAGTCCAATTATCAAACCGGCTTCGCGTAGCGTATAAGTCCAATTATCAAAATCTTTCTGCATATCATTTTGCATCCTACCCCTATACTATGCTGGTTTGATTCCTTGCAGAGGGATACGTACGCAGCCTACGGGCGCAATCATTTATTTGTCTGTACTTTCTTTGTTTGTCCAAGTCTTCGGCCTTGTCAAAATGGGTCGTCTCTGGGCTTTGACATTCACTCCCTTCATCTCTTGACTTCCGAGTTCTGTCAAAGAGGGGCAACTGTAGACACCCCATTTTTGACCGCCCTTAAGACTTGGACGTGACTGATGGTTTACATGGTGAAGAAAGGTGTGCAGGGGAAAGGTTCAGTTTCTTCGGCAAGGAGATAGTCAAATCTCAACTTCATACCCCTTTTTGAACCAAAACAATCTTGATCAAAAGATTTTAGACCTCAAAACCCTCTCTTTCAAAACGTTTTTGAAATAAAATTTTTACGATGTTCCGAGGCTCGCATTTTGTCAAATGTTGCGCTTTTCGGTAAACCGAGCAAGGACAAAGTAGAAATGAATGAAAGAGAGATGAAATATTTGAAAAATCTTTCAAAACACTTTGTTTAGGGGTTTAGAGTTGAAGAAAAGAGGAAAGGAGAGAAGAAAACAAGTTTGGGAGAAGTTCGGCATGAATCCGGTTGGACCGAATCTGCGCGGTTTCACCAAAACAGGCAGAAATGTTTTCACAGAAGGAATTTTAATGCAAGGCTGGTGCCATTGGAAATCTAACTTCCGGGGCTTCAATTTGGACACAAGAATGACCTGAAAAGGAGTTTATATGAAGGAGTTATGACCATTTTAAGTTGGACCTGGAAAGCAGAATTTTCCTAAACTAGCTGGCCGACCCAAAAAGGTGGCTGGCCGACCACCCTCTCCAGAAAAAGTGGCTGGCCGACCAGAAAAAGTGGCTGGCTGACTAGAAAAGTGGTCTACAGGTCCCAAACTCAGATATTTATCCTCCAGCTGTCTTCCACAACCTCCAGCTGTTCCAAACTCAGATTTTTTTGCGCAACTCTTGTATAGTGGCTATATATGAGTTATATCTCTCATTTTCGGAGGACAATGCTTCCTAAGCAGGTTTTTGGGAGATTCTCACTCTAAAAAATTCCCTCTCACTAGAAAATTCCAGAGCCAAATGCTCTGCCTCTCTCTCCTTCCTTGCCTTTGTGTGCATAGCAAGAGCTATACTTTGAGATATACCTCTCTTGCCTAGGACACCCTTGATCAACTCAACTACGCATTGGGCTGAGGTTCTTGAGGATCATTTGAGCTCCAAAATTCTAGTTTAGCTCAGAGTTTGGACCCCTTTTGCTGCTGTCTTTTGGAGCTTTCAAGGGTAACACACCATTTTCCTCTTATAGCAATTGTTTGCATCATATCTTATGCCCTACTTTGAGCATTTTCAGATTTGTCATTAAACTTAAAAAATTTTTCCTTTTGAGCTATAAACATGTTTACTTAAGTTACTTTCTTGTTTGGGTCAGCGCTTCCCTTTGGTATGCTTCAGTCCTCATGCTTGGAGTGCGATGCATTAGAGCAATTTGCATTGCCTTGGTTTTGCCCTTTAGTCACTGAATCCAGTGGATTTTCAGTGGCTTAGATGTGTCTTTGAGCCCTAAAATCAGAGGGGTGACCCCCCTCTCTCCTTGTCTTGTTGTTGGCCTTTTTGGCCTTCCAAAGGGGCCTCCATCTTGCATGCTTTGAAGTCTTGTTTTTAGGCCCTATTATGTGAGTTTTGAGGTTTGCCTTAGCTCTGTTCAGAGCCCCTTTGGCCATATTTTATGTTCTATGATGCATGTGTAGAATAATTTCCATTCAAGGCCTTTTAAAGGGGACTTTCATTGCATGCTTCCTAGACAATTTCAGGCTGCTTTTTGGTGAGTTTTAGGGCTGTCATAACTTATTTCCAGAGTGGTTTTGCCCCTTTTGTTTGTCTATCATGTATGTGTAGAACAAACCCTCGCATGGCTTTCCAAAGGGGCTCATCATTCTTGCATGTGTGACTGAGTTTTCAGGAGTTATTTGGGCATATTTTGGCATGAAATACTTCTGTTTTTAGCTAGTTGGGTGAGCCCTCATATGCTTCATATAGTTGTAGAACAACTCATGGTTCACTAGCTTTCTTGCATGCTTTATAGGCATTGATTCTAGCATATTTGGCCATGCCTTAAACTGATAAGTGTGCTTATTTTTGGACATCCCTAGCTCTGTTTTTGGGTCTTGTGGTTGAATGATGTTAGTTTTGCATGCTTGTAGTTCAAGGTCCATGCTTAGCTTTGAGTTTTGAGATCCATTCCATGCATATGCTGAGTGTGTTCATGTTTTGAGCCTATTATTCATCACATTTCAGAGCCTTGTTTGAATGCCATGTTGTCATGTTTTAATACTCTTTAAATGCGTTGAGAGTTGCGCTTGTATGTCTATTTACTCGACCATTGAATGAGCTCCATTTCGTTGCATTCCGAGCCATCATTTTAGGCCATTTCCCTACTATTTCAGACCTGCCTAGGGTCTGTTTGGGGTTGATTTTGCCATTAGTGCATTGTTTTGGGTACCTCTAGAGTAACGCACTTCACTAGTTTCGGTACCCGGGCCCCCTAGCTTGCATTGTGTGCCATGTTTGCATGTTTCGGGACCATTTTGTATCATGTTTCAGAGCTAGAATTTGTGTGTTTGTATGCCATATTGCATCCTTTTCCATGCTTTGGTAGAGTGACATTCGATGCCTTAGGATCGATCCCTTGCATCGTGCATGTTTCCATGTGTTTTGGTTGTCTCATTTCCATCATATGGCCACTGATGTGAGTGTGGCTGAGGTCCACTCATGTTGGTATAATTCCATCGTGCATTGTGTATGCCATTTCGGTCCATAGCATTGCGTATGCTTGGTCGCATGTTAGAGCATTGTGTATACCATTTCATAGCATTGCGTATGCTAGGTTGTATGTTAGTCGCACTGTGTATGCCATCTCATTTGCATTGTGTTTGGGATAGGAGTTAGCCCAAGCACGGAAAACGAGGGACGTTTCGTACTCCGAGTGACGGAACGTGTCTCAATTCTCGGTCGCCGACACTCCGAATTACCCATGATGGAGTTTAGGTCTTGTTGCGTTTTCATGTGCATTCATTTCACATCGAGTCGTGCAATTCGACTCCTCGGCCATCAAGCATCGAGATGCGTTATTGGTGGCACGAGGATCGATGACTACACTCCCTGAAGAGTAGTCATGCATACATATGTGAAAATACTTTGCTGTGCCCCTTTTTTGCGCTCTGTTGCAGCAAATCAGAAATCAACAGCCTTCCAGAGCCTTGCATAGCATTCCGGGATTAATTGCAAATAGAGGCGAATCGGGACATCGCGATGGATTTCCGCACCAGGCAACTCAAGCATGCATCTTTCATCATTCGGAACAGAGCTGAGGCGGTCCATAAGCTTGCATGCTAGTTTATCCACTTTCCTAGTTAATTTGTTAATTAATTAGGGTTTTGTAATATTTAATTATTTATTCGGACTGTATTATTCTTTCGGACCCTCTGAGCGAGGGCACAATTGTAATAAGTGTGCGTGTGTGTGATGTATGTCTTCCAACCCCACATCTTTCTCCCTTTTATTTATCAGCTTATGATGGTTAGATTAGGGCATGTTTCAATTAGCATACTTATGCTCGCATGTTTGCATCATTTATCTGTCCTGCATGCACCGAGCTCGGCGCATCATACTAACTGCATCGTATTTCAATTCTGAGTTGAATATTTGTTAGTTGTAGCATTTCACATGCCATCTGTAGAATAGCCGAGCCTATTTTAGTTGCATTTTGCATGTGTTGCATTAGGCATCTGTATAACTAGGATCATGCATGGATTTCTAACATAGCTTTTGTTTTGGCTTGGAGTACTCGGTAAGTTTTATACTTTAGCATCCTTGCATGCGTGTGAGTGACTGCCATGATAGCATGCTTACCATGAGGCTAACTGCTTATGTGATATACCTGCCTGAATGCCTGTGGGTGAAGGTTGGATTATCTGAATTGAAATAATGCGTTGACTGTGGGTTTTAAGCCCACTACATAGTGGCAAAACCATGTCTCCTAAGCCCACCCGAGGGTGGCAAAATCTGCATTTTTAGCCTACTTGCGAGTAGCAAACCGCTTTCAAAAAACCAAACATGAAATGTTTTGTTCCAATTCAGGCGATCCAGTCTATATTTGTATGCTGTGCGCATTACATAGTAAATTTAGGCTAATAACCAGAATAAGAGCACATAATGTTTTCAAAACTCGATATCATGGTTAGTAGAGGCCGATCTTTGATCGGGCGAGCGGGGGTGCTCACGAAGTGACCTTCCCTAATCGTACCCAAGTTCCCGAGCCGAGGCAACTTTGGTGATGACGGACACGTGGCCTTGGGCACGAGTCAAGGTTTCCTAAATTCTCCCAAAATAAAATATTTAGGTGGCGACTCTGTATCTGGCAAAGCAGTCCATGTTTGGCACTTCTTTAAAAAAAATCTATTTTCAAAAATGATTTGCCGGATTTGGACTCTTTGATGATTAATCGGTCTTGCATTGCACTCTGAGAGATTAGCTACAGGACCGTGACTTTGAGTCCTGAACTGTAGTGAGCCTAATGAACAAAACAGGAGATTTCCTCCCGGGACGTTCGGGGACGTCTACAGTGGGATACATCAATGGCGGAGGAATATAATTACCACTCATGGACAAAGATGGAGGAAGAGGATGAAGGGGAGGAAGAGGTTGAAGAGGAGGAACATGTTGACCAACATATATATCTCCTCCAACAGATAATGGAGAAGGTACAATTGTTGAACTTGCAATAGATTGTGACGAAGCCAAGCTGTTAGCACGGGATTTTTTTTTTGAGTTCGCTACCAACGTCACTTCGAATCCACCTTTGACCCTCCTTTTACCTTACTAGTTGCCACCTTTTTCTTCAATCCTTTTGGTTGCACAACATGATTCACATCTTCGCAATCCACTTCAAAGGTTTGGGTGTCATCATCATTACCTACTTCATTTCCAACACCAAAATGAGCACTTAACTTGCCTTCAACATTTGCACCTAATGTAGCAAGCTGTGCAACACAAAAATCAAAGGTTTCTTCAGTTTCAGCAGCTCTACTTGCTAGTGCTCTAAATGCTGTCATCAATGTCTTATACCGCGATGCTTGTTGGAATTTCACATCTACTTCAATGTCATTCCCCTTAATGTCCTTCACAGTTTCGGCTCTTGCTTGTTTGGTCCACCTCTTCAGAATGTATTGTGGAGGAACCTCTTTCATCTTCAATATGTCTCTAATAACCTTCAATGAGTGATAACACAAGATTCCTTCCCTTTCAAACTTTGTACAATTACAACCCAAAGAGCCATCCCTCTCTATCTTCACTTTCCTTGCATATTTGTTACCAACATCAACAACTGTGTAAATGGTACTAGCCTCCCCATATTCAATTGCTTCTATGTCCGATTCAATGGATTGAAAGTACTAATTTTGGAATTCCTCAAAGATATTTTTTGTGTAGACATTACCCCTTTGAATTAACATTCTTATTGTTGCTTTCACCTTTGGCAACCTTTGGCACAAAGCATATCCTGCTTCTAACTCCTTGTATCACTTCTCGTAAAGTACCCTTTCGAAATGCATGAAGAATTCATTTAAGTTAAAATCAGAACGAATGTGATCCTTCAAAAAAGCATTAAAAGATTCACTAAATTACGTGGTACTCATTCCCGCATCCCATGTTGATCTAACGTAAGGCCAGCCCCATTTTTCTTTCACCGCAAAAGTCAATTTCAACCAATGGTTTTCATGCGCATCATATTTATCAAGCATTTCCGCCCACTCTAACTTCCATTGATTTGCATCTTTAATGTGAAAGAAGAATTTATTTAGTACACTCTTCACCCCCTTATCTTGGAACAAACAGTTAACATGTTTTAATGCATTTTGCATCAAATGCCAAATACACAATCGGTGACTTGTGTCAGGCATAACGATGGGTATGGCTTTAGCCATTGCAGCATCTTGATCGGTGAACAAAGTTTTTGGTGCCTTTCTTGACATAGCCTCTAGAAAATTTTCAAACAACCATACAAATGATTCGGCGGTCTCATCATACAACAATGCTGCACCAAATATAATTGTTTCCCTATGATGATTGAATCCCATAAAAGATGCGAAGGGTCTATGTTCTTTGTTTAACTTGTAAGTCGTATCAAATGTGACAACATCACCAAATTGGGCATAATCCATGATCATTTGTGCATCGGCCCAAAACATATTGGTTATTTGCTCCTCATTATCTAATTGAAAAGCATAAAAGAATGAAGGATTCTGCAAAGATTTTTCTTTAAAGTATTGCAACACATTGCCTACTTCCCCATATACTAAACTTTGTTGTCTTTTGGTTCTCAAATAATTTTTAGAATCTAATTTCGTAAACCCAAGATATTGCCTTCCACCAGCTTCCCTACCCATGAGTTCAAAAGACTGGCCAAAACGAAGACCAGATTGTGCCGCCAAATCTAACTGAATTGCTTGGGTAGTCGATATTTTTCTTTGTGATGGCAACATGTGAGCACACTCGGGTGATACAAGATCATGGTTGTGTTTTCTCTGAAATCAGTAACAACAAATTTCCCAGTACCCTCATCTAATTTAATATAAAGTCGAGCCTCACAACCAGTCCTAGTTTCAGCTCTAGGATTTTTTGACAATGGGTCTCTCTTGTCAACCTTTCGAAATCCCTCCTTGTTGCAAACCAAAAGTCTACAAATAAGTTGATTAGTGAACTTGTCCTTCCTACAATAATCCCTTCTTATGCTAAACCTCATTCTTCCTCCATATGTATTATAAAAATCATACGTACATTGTTCAGAATCAAATGTCATTCCCTGTTTTGGCTTCCAATCACAATCATTCTCAGGTTCCATATCGATATCAAAATGCAACTGAAAACCCATATAAAAAAAAACATAATTTCAGTTTGAAAAAAAAAAAAACATACATAAAAACATAGAGAGACTAAGTTCAATTTAAAAAAATTCCACTTCTACATGTATATGTTGGAACTCTGTCATATATATTAAAATCTATTTTTCCACCACTGTTTACAATCAGTGACAATATAGTCTAAATAGGCTGTAATGTTGGAAATCAGACCTAACTTTCATTGTACCTTAAATAATCTTTATATTCAATCCTAAAGAATCTTTATATTCAATCACTGTAATGTTGGAAATCATACCTAACTTTCATCCTAAAGAATCTTTATATTCACTCATTGTACCTCAAATATTCTAATGCATACCATACAAGGGGAAATTATCAAATATTACGGGACCAGTCTTCATATATAAAATTCTCTCTCTAGGAATCAGGCCGTCAATTTTGGAATTTTTTTTTTTTTTGGGTAGATTAATGAGAATGTCTCCATGAGGGTTCAGATATGATCTAATTTGTAATTAACAAAACATGAGGGTTCAGATATGATCTTGGAGAACATTGAATTCTACACAGGGTTCAGTATATCCACAACCTGGTTCGTGAAGACAGAGGACAAAAGATGGAATTCTACACAGGGTTCACTATGTTTGAAACTGTTAGCTCTTCTTGAGCAATGGAATTTTGCTCAAACAAAATTGAAAACAGAGGACAAAAGATCTTTGTTCAAAGACCAACCTGGTTCGTGTTGAAGAGATCTTTGCTCAACCGATGGTGGTCATTGCGGTGGAGTTCACGAAGCGTAGAGGCTGGAGCGGTGGAGTTCGCCGTTGGTGAGGATGGGTTCGCCGGTGAGGATGAGGATGGGTTCGACGGAGGAGAGTGCTGTGTAAGAGTGAGAGTGCTGTGTGAGAGTGAGAGTGAATCTCTGAGCTGTGTTGTTGTTTTGTTTGGGCGGGAACTCGAAAACATTTCATTTTTGATTTTTTTTTTTTAATCTGAGCCATTGGATGACCAACGGCTCATCTGAACCGTTGCAAGTAGGAGTTCAAGGAGGATCCTCAAGGAGAGGATCTGAACTCGGCGGAGTTGGGGGTGGGGAAAGATGGTCGCTGGAGAGCTTCGTTGGTGGTGAGGGTGGGTCTTCTCCTAATTCTTCTTTGCTTCTGCGTTTTATTTTTTGTTTTTCGTTTTGGGTAAATTATTACAAATAAAAATTGCATAATAATGACTTTTTTTATTTTCTTATATAATTTTAAAAATTACATTTCACCCATTGAAATTTTTAATCACATAATAATATTAATAAAATATTAAATTAATTAATAGTTTTTGTTATTTTATTGTTGTTTCGTTAAAACAAAACAAATTTATTAATTTTGTTAAATAATTTTTTTATAATAAAATAATTATTGCATATAGAATTATCCCAATAAATTTTCAGTAAATTACTAAATAAATTCTAAGTAGATTACTCAGTAAGTTCCTCAATAAATTCCTTGTAAATTACTCAGTAATTTTCCTGTAAATTCAAAGTAAATTACTCAGAAAATTCCCATTAAATTATCAATAAATTACTCAGTAAATTCCCCATAAATTACTTAGTAAATTCCCAGTAAATTCTCATGAAATTACTCAATAAATAAACTATAAATTCTCAGTAAATTCCTCAGCTAATTCCCAGTAAATTCTCAGTAAATTGCATAGTAAAATCCCTATAAATTCTAAGTAAATTACTCAGTAAATTCTTAGTAAATTACTCTGTAAATTCCTATAAATTGTCAGTAAATTATTCAGTAAATTCACAGTAAATTCTCAGTCAATTCCCTATAAATTCTCAGTAAATTACTCAGTAAATTCCCAGTAAATTCCCGATAAATTCTCAGTAAATTATAGAAACTTTTCAGTAAATTCCCAGTATATTCTCAGTAAATTACTCAGTAAAATCCCAGTAAATTGTTAGAAAATTTACAATAAAATCTCAGTAAATTACTTGGTAAATTACCATTAAATTCTCAGTAATTACTAAGGAAATTCCCCGTAAATTACTGAATAAATTACTCAGTAAATTCTTAATAGATTACTGAGCAAATTCCCCGTAAATTCCCTGTAAATTACTCAGTCAATTCCCAGTAAATTCTAAGTAAATTACTTAGTAAATTATCAGAAAATTACTCAAAAAATTACCAATAAATTACTTAGTAAATTCCCAATAAATTCTCAGCATATTACTTAGTAAATTCGTAGCAAATTCCAGTAAATTCTCAGTAAATTACTTAGTAAATTATTTGTAAATTCTCAGGAAATTATTCTGTAAATTTAAAGTAAATTACTCAATAAATTTCTAGTAAATTCCCAGTAAATTATTAGTAAATTACTCAATAAATTCCTAGAAAATTGTTAGTAAATTACTTAGTAAACTCTAAGTAAATTACTCAGAAAATTCCCAGAAAATTGTCCGTAAAATACTCTGTGAATTCCAAGTAAATTGTTAGTAAATTACTAAGTAAATTTTTAGTAAATTCCTAGTAAATTCTCGATAAATTACTCAGTAAATTCTCAGCAAATTACTCAGTTAATTACCACTAAATTCTTAGTGAATTACTCAGAAAATTTCCAGTAAATTCTTAGTAAATTGCATAGTAAATTCTCAGTAAATTCCCACTAAATTCTCACAAAATTTCTAAGTAAATTTCTTTGTAAATTCCAAGTAAATTCCTAGAAAATTCTCAGTATATTCTTAGTAATTTACTCAGTAAATTCTTAGTAAATTACTCTGTAAATTCCTAGTAAATTATCAGTAAATTTCCAGTAAATTAGCAGTAAGTTACTCAGTAAATTCTCAATAAATTCTCAGTAAATTTTAAGTAAATTCCTCAGTAAATTCCTAGTAAATTCAAAGAAAATTACTCAGTAAATTCCCTATAAATTCTCTGTAAATTAATTAGTAGGTTCCCAGTAAATTATCAATAAATTCCAGTAAATTCTCAGTAAATTACTCAGTAAATTATCTGTAAATTTTCAGTAAATTTCTCAGTAAATTATTCAGTAAATTCCCAATAGATTCTCAATAAATTATTTAGTCAATTTCCTGTAAATTACTCAGTAAATTCCCTGTAAATTCTAATTAAATTACCAGTAAATTCTCATTAAATTTTTTAGTAAATTCGCTGTAAATTCTCAGTAAATTACTCATTAAATTCTCGGCAAATTACTGAGTAAATTCCCAGTAAATTACTCACTAAATTCCCAGTAAATTACTCAGCATCTTCCACGTAAATTCTCAGTAAATTACTCAGTAACCTCCTAGTAAATTCTCACTAAATTAATTTGTAAATTTCCAGAAAATTCCCAGTCAACTACTCAATAAATTTTCACGAAAGTACTTAGTAAATTATTGAGTAAATTCTCCATAAATTACTCAGTACATTGCTCATTAAATTCCAAGTAAATTCTGAGTAAATTACTTAGTAAATTCTCAGTAAATTGTTCATTAAATTCTAAGTAAATTCTGAGTAAATTACTTAGGAAATTCCCACAAAATTCTCAGTAAATTCCATGTAAATTACTTAGTAAATGTTCAGTAAAATCTTAGAAAATTACTCAGCAAATTCCAAGTAAATTCACAGTAAATTACTTAGTAAATTCTTAGTAAATTCTCAAAAAATTACTCAATAAATTCTCAGTAAATTACTCAGTAAATTCCCTATAAATTTTCAGTAAATTCTAAGTAAATTACTCAGTAAATTTCAAGTTAATTTTCAGTAAATTACACAGTAAATTCTCATTAAATTATTCAGTAAATTCCTTTTAAATTCTCAGTAAATTGCTCAGTAAATTCCCAGTATATTCTCAGTAAATTACTCTGCAAATTCCCAGTCAATTCTCATAAAATTGCTCAGTAAATTCGCAGTAAATTACCCATTAAATTCTTAGTAAATTACTCAGTAAATTTCCAAAAAATTACTCTATAAATTCCCAATAAATTCTCAACAAATTCCTAATAAATTCTCAATAAATTACTCAATAAATTGCTTAGTAAATTCCCAGAAAATTCCCAGAAAATTCTCAGTAAATTCTCTCTAAATTACTAAGAAAATTCTCAATAAATTATTCAGTAAATTCTAGTAAATTCCCAACAAATTCCAGTGAATTACTGAGTAAATTCCTAGTAACTTCTCAGTAAATTTTCTATAAATTACTCAGCAAATTCTCAGTAAATTACTCAGCAAATTCTCAGTAAATTCCAAGTAAATTCTAAGTAAATTACACAGTAAATTCTAAGTAAATTACTCAGTAAATTTTCAGTAAATTACACAATAAATTCCCATTAAATTACTTAGTAAATTCCCCGAAAATTTTCAGTAAATTACTCAGTAAATTCCCACTAAATTCTCCGTAAATTACTCATTAAATTCTCAGCAAATTACTCAGTAAATTACTCACCAAAATTCCCAGTAAATCACTCAGTAACTTCCATGTAAATTATCAGTAAATTACTCAGTAAATTACACTGTAAATTTCAAGTAAATTCTCAGAAAATTCTAAGTAAATTCCTAGTAAATTCTCAGAAAATGACTCTTTAAATTTCCAATAAATTCTCAGTAAATTACTCAGTAAATTCTCAGCAAATTACTTAGCAACTTTCAATAAATTTTCAGTAAATTACTTAGAAAATTATCAGTAAATTCCCAGTAAATTCTAAGCAAATTACTCAGTAAATTCCCAGTAAATTACTTAGCAAATTCCATGTAAATTTTTAGTAAATTACTCAGTAAATTCCCAGTTAATTCTCATTAAATTACTTAGTAAATTCCTTTTAATTATAAGTAAATTACTCAGTAAATTCCCTGTAAATTCTCAGTAAATTACTCAGTGAATTTTCTGTAAATTACTAAGTAAATTTCCAATAAATTCTCATTAAATTATTCTGTAAATTTCTAGAAAATTCCCAGTAAATTATTCTGTATATTCCCAGAAAATTACTTAG